CCCCCAATTTTCTCACACCGTTCAGCTGTGCGCTCGCTATCTGAGGCTGCTTTCGCTCACGCCGTCTCCTCTGTGTTGGCCTTCTGTTGTCGATCCTCGGCTGCCGCCAGTATTTTTAGACTCAGGTGAACCTGAGGTCTGCTGCTGATTTAAGTCTTTCTGCTATTTCTGTCCTGCCTTCACAGGGAGGGACGGGAGGCGGCTCGTTGCATAAGATCCCTGCGATGATGGCGAGAGTATTTGATGTGGAGACGTTTATATTTAAACATTAAGTGACAGATCTGAGGAGGRACTCAGGCAGATGGAAGTCAAAATGTGCTCAGAAGTCGTTTTATGCAGGAATTTGATATTATTTCTTCTCAAAATAGATGAAAGAAGAAAAAAAAGGATTTTTTTATTTTTAGAGGAATCTAATTTTCACATATTTGCAGCTGTTTTTTTCCAGGGTTGGAACATAAACGATAAGTTAAATCTGAAAGCAGATAAGAAGAATTAATGACGATGTTTTCAAACTCTTAAAATATTCAGCTGTACAATAAGGCAGAGGAAAGCCTTATGAGTAAAACTCCAATCCAAAGCAACAAATATGAGCTGAGGCAGCCTCTGTGGGGTTGATGGTGCCACTCGAGCCGAGCATGAAGAGGAATCTTAATGATCACGACTCTCTGGCCCAGTTAAAAACACAAAAACGTGGCAGCGAGACAACAGAGGAGCTTTGTGCTGAAAATATTTTCTCCATTAATGTTTGAGATTTGAGGAGCAGTGACTCACTGCTGTGAAAACACTGCCAGCTGCTGGCAGCTTCAGCTCCACATTATGACTTATTCCTCCTGGATTGTTGTCAGCCATCAGTTGCCTTTGGCCCGCAGCCATTTGAGAAATTTAAATGTGCGTTTCTGACACCGTTCCACTGCCGGGCACTTTGACAAGACGAGACCTCAGATTAAAATCAGATTGGCTGCAGGTTGTGAGTTTTCAGCTGGGCTGAGTTTAATGACATGTCCCTTCTCTCACTCAAAAACAAACAAACAAACAAACAAACAAAAAACAACCTGAGCAAAGTAGTTTGGAAAAGAAATTATTCTCATAGAAACACCTCAAATATAGCTAAGAGTCCTTACATTCATATAACAGGAGTTTTATTTGTGAATTAACTGTATATGTTATACATTCTCCTGACTTTACAAGTTAAGATTTAAAGACCTATTAGAGACTGAGGGGAAAAAAGATTTTGAGTGATTAAGAGTTAGACAATTTAGAAATAGTAGTGTCTCTTACAGAGTCGTAAGGTAACTAAGTATAAATACTTTGGTTCTGTACTTACATAGAAATTTTGGTTATCTGTACTTTACTTGAGCAATTATTTTTCAGCCTACTTTTTACTTCCATTCCTTACATTTTTTTAATAAGGTAAGAAGTAGAAAGTCATTATTCCTATTTCATTTTGGCTTGTTATTGTTAAAAAAAAGAAACTAAATTTCACCTCCTGGTTAAATGATATAAGTATATATACCATTATATATTTATTTTACTCTATTTGTTAGCAGGACATATGTAGCTTAGTACGGAGGTGTCTGTAGCATATATCTATCTTTTACTCGCTTCGTCTTTTCAGGGTCACTGGTGCCCATGTCCAGCAGTCACTGTGCGAGGGGTGGACTACTGCACCCTAAATGTTTTAACATTTACATTTCAATATGACATACAAACACCTTGGCCTTTACAAAAATGTTTTTTTTGGGAGGTCACCTCCCAAAAAAAGTAATTTCAGAAAATCTAACCCCTCACTTTTATTCAATGCTTTCCTTTCAATACTTAAGTACATTTTATGTCAAATTTACTTTTGATACTTAAATACAAAAAACATTAAATACTTTAAGACTTTTACTAAAGTAGTTTTCTTAGAGGAGACTTTTTATAGCATTTTCTAGCCATTAAAAAAAAAGAAGAAACTTTCATGGACATGAAAGTTTCCAAAAAGATTTAAATCATAAGATCTGCAGCAAATGCTCACTAGTATAATCTAGAAGAATCTTTATTTTATTGTTTTTTGTGTACAGTGCCCTTAGACAACAGTTGTGATTTGGCGCTATATAAATAAACTGAATTGAATTGAATAGAATTGAATAGAATAGTAGTGGATTAACAATAAAAAGTTTATCAAGTAAACATTTTAAACTTTTCTTTATTTAAAGTGGACTTTTTGCTAACCTTACAAATAAAACGTCTCAAAGGGATTTGTAAGATTTAAGATTGTAGCAGCTTAAACAGCATTTAGTGACGTGAAATTATTTATGCAGAGAAGCAACAGCACCACCTGTGGCCGTGAATGGATATTACATCCTGTAAATCTTTGGTAAACGAACAACTAAAACTACCGTTTTTATTTACGGTTCAGGTCAGCTGTGACCAAATATCTCTTTTTTTAGCTGTACTTTTTCAGAATACTGTGGAAAACCTCAGAATCTATTTTATTTACCTGGTTTGTGGTTTGAAACGTGTCAGAATACATATCAGCATTTCTCACCTGAACCCTGTCCATGTGGATAAGTTTAAAAAGCTTCTGTCTGAGCTGTAAATAAAACTTTTTAAAGTATTCAAAAACATGCTTCCAAGAAGCCGGGGTGACAACATCCCAGTTTCAGTTCCCTCATTAACTCAAACTCCCATGTGGCAAAAGAAACACTCTAGTAAACAGGAAAAAAATGTTCCTGAAGCAATCAACTTTGTAGAAAAAGTCAAACTTTAAGAATGAATCAGTATTTACCTGTTTATATTCTCCAATAATGGAACCGTTCTTCTTAATCTCTGATTCAGACTTATCGAGTTCTCGTCGGCACATTTCTTTCAGCTGCAGGGACACAGAGATGTTTTAGCTGTTAGGTGAGGAAACGACCAACGACACAAGCAGATTCAGAGGTCACAGAGACCGTGTGACTGCCACGGAACGAGACAGAGACTGTAAAAGGTTTTGGCAAGCTCGTGGCCTCGACACAACCTTGACTGGAACAAATAAATCACTCAGAGCTGCACCTCGACTCGCAGTACGACATGAGACGTTTGGAGGACGGCGTTAAACACAGACAGATCAGAGGCCTGCTGACTCAAAGCTGTTCATCACTCAGTCCAAGAAAAAACAACTTACGTTAACTCTTATCAGGATGTGTTATAAATACATAACACATTTTATAAAACACACCTCATAAGTTCTTTCTGTAAATATACTGTATATTATTATATTTTCTTTTAAACATTCAAACAGGAAAACATTAGTTCCTTATCATCGACCACATTGTAAAGATTAATTAAACATAAAAGAGGAAATAGGTGGCACATGGACTCACAAACTAAGCAAACCTGTCTTCATGGGATGAATTCTCTTTTCCTCAAGGCTTCACCTGAGAAGATGCATCAGCAGCCATCTTAACTGTGATTCATTTATCAGTTTTGATGAATAAACAGCTGCAGCTCTGCGCTACAGTTTAAATTGTTCTTTTTTATAAAGGGACAGACGTTCTTGTAATTTGTAAAGTGGTCTTGATCAAGAGTTTCACCAGATTTTTAAAAGTTTTTCTTGTTTCCTTTCCGGCCCTTGTGCCCGAACATGACATGGGTTTGAAGTGGCTGAAGTGAGCGAGAACCAAAGAAGCATCAAATGTTAAATACAGAAGATGAACGGTGTCTTTTAAAAACAAGAAAAAATAAAATAAAAAAACTGAAACAAGACACCTCCTTCTTCAGTTGATCTGACTGTATGCTAAGCTTTTAACTAATAATTCGTTAAGAATCACCTTTTTGGTCAAAAATATTATTTCAGTTCCATCAAATTTGGTTATCTTTTGATATTTTTTTGTTTTTGTTTTGTTATTGAAATTTGGACTTACTTTTTGATTGATTTTATCTGAGAAAAAAGGGGCAGATATAAGATTTTGTCTTCTTTTGCTGCCTTTCAATTATTTATGATTTGTATTTTCATTATATTGAATTTATGTTGTTTTTAATGAAATGAATGTATAAACATTATCAGTATCATTATATTTTGGTAGAGATTAATCGAAACAGTAAAAAACAACAGGAAGCTGTTAAAAAATTGCCTAAAATCCTATTTAAAATTAGATTTTCTGCAATTATTTACAAGTTGACACAACACAGATTCACCCTTTGATTTTAAAACAGAGCTAAGTTGCTTAAAGGGCTTTTTATTATAAGTGTCAAAAACAAACAAAAAAATACTCAAGACCACTATAAAATACAAAATAGATTCTTTGGAAGGATAATATACAGCGGGTAAAATAAGTATTGAACACGTCACCATTTTTCTCAGTAAATATATTACTAGAGGTGCTAATGACATGAAATTTTCACCAGNCTCGTTTTTTCTCGTCTTACTTTGAAAGGAAAAACCAAAGAACAAACCAAATTTAGGACCTAAGTTTTAAATTCTATTTTTAAGACCGTTTTAATTTAAATAATTTAAAAAATGATACTTTACTGAACAAATCTAAAGGTYACGTTATGCTCCATCTGAACAGCTAAAATCAGCTCTCGTCACAGCTGCATGACAAAATCACATCATTGTGTTTGCAGCTTCGACTCTTCAGTCCTTTCTTCTCATAACCTGCTGGAAGAACTTTCGCCTCTTTCAGTATAAAAACTGTGGGTTGTTTGTCGCTCGACCCTGCTTTTTACTTCAAATGCTCACTTCCAAAAACAAAAAAAGTCAGCTTCCAGAACCTGACTGTTGTACCTGGAAATTGACATTTACAAAGAGAGAAATGSCCAAAAACTCACAGACGTTGACCATGGAGGAACCCATCTGCAGACAAGTGTGGAGCTTTAACCACACAGATTTGTGGACGAATAAACAGACAGGTGGTAGCTGGCAGCCATTTTAATTTAATGGTGGGGATTTTGTTTATTGCTTTAGATTATTTGTTTTGGATTGGTCCTCTCTACATTACTTGAATATCTTTACTGTATTTTTAACTTGACAAACAGAACTAAAAGTTRACGACTGATTGGACAGATCAAACGTGTCTCGAGGTAAATTCGAGGTAAAACCCAGAGACTGGAACACSGTCTCGTCCGGCTGGTTTGCTCCAGTCAAACTCCACCTCTTCCAAATGAATTAGGATGCAACAATCGTCTGTTTTTAGCTTCTCCAGTAGACTCTTCTCTGTCCTCTTGTGCTGGAGATCCAATTAGCTTTTACATTTCCTGGCTCCACTTCCACAAGACTTGGCTTTCAAAGGCACTTAAAAAGGAAAACACTTTTTGAAGAATAACTGGAGTTATCTGGGTTGGAAAACAATATGAGCTATTTTTGGGCATTCCTCGACTTGTCACTCCACGCAGACTGAACGCCGTTGTCTTTCTTCTCCTCTCAGCATTCTCCCCCTCCCTCCATCTCTGCACTCGTTCCTTCCTGTCATAAAAAGGGACTCGTTTTTCAACGAGCCCCCCCCCCCCCCCCCCCCCATCCAGAAAACCTCAGCACTCTTTTATTATTCAGCTGTTTAATTTGCTTACAACCTTTTACATTGGTTTGTCACTGGATTCTTTCTACCACAGACTCCCGGTGAAACCCCCACATTGCCGATGCTCCGTTCTGACACCGAACAGCGAGAATAACTGTCGTTACGAGTTAAGGTCAGGGCCGATAATTGGCACGTTCGTGCGAGAGATTCGGCCCATTCCAGCCGTCAGTCATCTTTCAGAGCAGCGATGCTGACGGCCGCGTCTCCGGCGAGGATCCGGTGACATCTCCGGCATTCGACACCATCAGCACACGGCCACAGCTGCCAATCATCCTGCCAGGACCTGCAGCGCTGGTGCACGTGTGTGGCTCTGGCTTTAGGGCGCCAAACCGAAGAGGCGGCAAAAAGGGTCTGACCGGAGGAAACCCTGCTCAGTTTCAGTAGACTGGGTCAAATGAAGCCAAGTTGTTCTCCTGAAGACAAAACAGGAGAAATGTTTGCCTAATCTTTTTTACACTACGCCCGCTAATCAGAAACTGAACACTGAAGGCATCTGCTCGCTCAGTGCAGCGTTGCACCCTGCAGAGCTATAAATGACCACGGACTGCTGACAACTTTTTTTGAGACGATGACCTGTATTGTGTTTCAGATTGGAACAGGAAACTCTTGGTTCGCTCACAAATCAGATTAATTTGACAGAACCCCCGCCCGCCGCATCGACACTGACATCAGCGTCTGTTCAGCTTTAACGAGGCGAAACAAACAGCTAAAGCTAAACTGAAACTGTTTCTAGCCGAGTGAAAAGAATAGGAATGAAGGCCTCAGCTTTGGTTTTGAACCAGCAAATCCGTCTCCAACAAACTGAGCTCTTTCAGGCTCCACCAAAAGCTTGACTCTGATTGGTCGACTTCATGAAACTCTGCAGCTGCACTTAGTCCTGATAACAGCCTCCTCTTGTACAGATTTATAAAACAGTCGTTCTGATAAATGATGTTAATTTAGGTCCTGATTGTTTATTTTTTTAATGTGGAGACATGAACATTACTGACACCACCACTCAGGTAAATATTACACAATAGTACCTGCTTATAGTGTGACATCATTATTACTTTAATGTGAGGGAAATGTGTCAAAATGTTTGTGTTCAATTACAGCTGTTTAAAAGAACCGAAGCTTAATTTAAAGATTTGTAATTTAAAAAAAAAGGTTGATCTTGAGCCTAATTTGAACTCAAAATATCCACTTTTAAAAAATTTTGACAAATTTAATCTGAACATCTAACATTAAAAAATTGAAATTCCAGAATGTAAAAGAAAAGCAATAATCTGTAACTTTAACAATGATCTCARTAGATGCAGATTAATATCTAGTCTGTATTTTAATGGTTTGAACATTAAATTTTTGCTTAAAAAGGTAATTCAGACSTTTTCAAGTGGGGTTGAACTGGAAGGCTAGAAACAACTAATATCTTACCTGTTGTAGATGGCACTTTGAAAAGTTATAGTTTGAAGAAAACAGGTTTAATTCTAATGAAGCCGATCTGCTGAAGATGAAATAAAGAAAATGAAGATTTAATTAAGAAAAATAAGAGAGGAAGTAAACATATAGTTTTTATTTTGTTTGTTTTTCAATTTTTTACTGATCCTGTTGATGTTTTTTATTGTTTTCTGCACTAAAACACATCTGAGCAGCAGAAGAAGAGCTCATCCTGCAGCAGCGTTCCACTTTAAAATAAAATATTTGATGTTTGATGTTGTTGCTGCCTGCAGRTTGTATTTATAGCGAGGTAACGCAGGACGTGACGAGTCAATTGCATAACGCCGACACTCGTTACCTTCAGCTGCTGCAGGCCGGGAGCAACGATCCCGCCGGCCGAACGTCAACACAGGAGGTGATAATTTTACAGGCCTGAATGCTTCGAACGCTCGACATGATCTAAAAAAGCTGCGGCACATTTTTTTTTAATTCTCCAAGGAAAAGGTAGGGAAACAGCTCAGCCCTGACAGAATGTTTTGGTGGTGGTCTTCCAGTCTGAGGTTYAGGGGGACAGATCCAGATCCCAGGTTCTTCTGTAAATAAATAAACAAACAAAAGAGACGGGATGTCTTGTGTCGATATCTTTATATTTAAATCCATGAATGTACACACAATGCAGTCTACTCTAGAACAGTTTCCACAMGTTAATGGTTTTGTTGATGAAGTAGGTTTTGGCTTTTTATTTTMTTTTCTTTTATTTTTAGTAAACCAAACAGCAGTGCGACTGAGAAGCTTGGAGCAAAATAAAAACAACAAATACAAAAAAAAACATGTCTGTGGATTAAACTGGAGCACAGCAGCAGGTAGGCAACGTTAGAGTAGAAAATTATAAACAAATATTCAATATTGATGATTTTTGTGTGTTATTTACAGCCCAGTGCTTCAGATACTACTCTTCCTTCTATGTCACAGGTTCCAGCCAATCAGAGCKCACCTCGAGGTAACCATGCAGAAACTTTCTTTTTCTTCTTCAGTTTTACACAGTGAAGCAGGAAACTTCTTTCAGTCAACTAAATATGAAATCCCAGCTGTGAGCTCCCACATGTCCTGCAGACAAATGTAGAACTTTTATTTTGAAGTTTGACCTGAACTTTGACCCTTGGTGACCCGGCTCTGACCCGTCCTCCTGTAGTTACACCTCAGGTTACTGAGGGAGCTTTGATTTAAAGCAGTCACCACTTTGTGTTTCAATCTCTTCAGGATCTGAARGACTCTGTCAGTTCAGCCGTTTTCTGCTGAAACCACGAATCATGAAGACGATCCGGTCGCAGCTTTTTCCACCTCACTAAAACATTAACCCTTTGTTTCAGCTCATCTGGTGACAAAAAACAAATTAGGATTTAAAAAGGTGTTTAAGTGCTGCAAGGATTTTCTATTTTCATAACACAATTCTCCCAAAAAAAAAAAGTGATTTTTAAACATTGCATCACTCTTGAGTTTCATCGTTTCATCCAAATAAGCTAAACCACGCTGAGGTTTGTATGATTTAAAGCTTTTAAATTATTTTTTGTGCTCACAGATCTAAACCAAACAAACCTCAGGTGTGTTTTTATAAATTACATATTTATATCCACCTTCCAGTCGAGGCTTTGTCAACAAACACTTTAACACGTTTGAACATTAAAGGACATGAGACGCACATGCACACACTCATGTCTTAGTGCTTTACACGTTTCTTCTCACACACACGCACGCGCACACACACACACACACACGCACTTTGCTTCTTTTAAACATACATTAAACAGAGACTTAAACAAAAATAGAAAAAGCTCGGTTCTGAAAATGCGTCTATTAGCTTTCGTACCTAAAACAAACAAAAACTAATTTACAGGAACTTCTTTTTGTGCCAGTAGTTTAGAGGTGAAGAAGGAAAGACCCAGTTTCTGACGTCMCTCCTTTCAATCAGCAGAACGTTCTCCGTCATCAGCTGGAACAGGGGGTCTACGGGGGGGTTCGATGAACGACTTCCTTCTTGTTTGGAATGAATGTCGGAGGAAAACAAGACGATTTTGTTGATTAAAAGGAGACAAAGATCCTCAGATTTAACAGGTGAAGTTCTGGTCCGGTTCAGGGTTCAGCACCGAGCTCCAGACGTGGTTCTGTTAAAACTGGGTGGGTCTGACGGAGGGAGGGGGATTGTTCGGTTAGGCGGTCTCCTTTCCCTGGGTCCCCGTGACGGTTTTGATTGAGCTGAGCGTTCGGTTGAACCAGGTTTTCTTGGCGGCCTGGACCTCGTTGAGAGCGAGACCCAAATGGTGCTCCAGGTCCTGGTGGACAAGAAGAAACAAAGCTAAATACTGAGAGGCTACAGCTAAAGCTAACCGCTAACTGGAAGCAGCAAAAAGCTGTTTGAAAGATAACAGTAGCAAAAGTCTAGGACCTAAATTAATTTAAGTTGACTAAAAGCTAAAGTGAATAAAAGCTAGTCATTAGCTAAAAGTAGCATAAGGCTAGAAGCTAAAATAGCAAAGGATTAAAAGCTACAAGTAGCATAAGACTGAAAACTAAAATTGCAAAAAGCTGAAAAATAAACCAGCTACAAACTAAAAGTAGCAAAAAGCTAAAATCTAAAGTGAATAAAAGCTAGTTATTAGCTAAAAGTAGCATAAGACTAGAAGCTAAAATAGCAAAAATAAGCTGAAACAAAAACCAGCTACAAATTAAAAGTAGCAAAAGTCTAGGACCTAAATTAATTTAAGTTAGCTACAAACTAAAAGTAGCAAAAAGCTAAAATCTAAAGTGAATAAAAGCTAGCTACTAGCTAAAAGAAGCAAAAGACTACAAGCTGAAATAACTACAGACTAGCTACAAACTAAAGTAACAAAGGCTAATTTAGCTGAAAGCTAAAGTAGCAAAACAGTAGCTAAAAGTAGAGCAAGAAGACTAAAATCCAGGAAGTTTTCAAAGAGAACAATATTTGATGGCCTTGAAGAGATCTGTGTGTTTATTTATGTTTGTAAAAGAAAAAGGTTCAAATGTTAAAAAGTATAAAAGTTAGAAGAACTAAAGGTTGAAGATCATCTGCTGAATGTTTTGATGATGAAATAAAACAGGAGTTAAAATACACAAAACATGAATAAACCAGGTTAAGCTTTCACATCATTCTAAAGCAAACTTCAGAGCATCATATCAGTCTTTTTTAAATGAAGTTTTTAGTTTTAATCATATTTAGTTGAAAGGAAACTGTTTATAGGGCACACATGTCAAAGGTAAGTGCGAAAAGCCTGTTTATTTAATAGCGGCTGTAGTTCACTTTCACATGTTGGACCAATAAAGTACGTTAGCTTTTTTTTTTTTTTTTTGCAAAAAAACTGTTGATCTGAAGGCTAATAAGACAGTGTGATGGCCTCTCAGCTGCTTCCTGTGACACATGAACGCAGGTAGCTCAGACAGAAAKAAACGAGCAGCAGCAGCATCCTGAGTCGTAACAACTAAAGTGGGTAGAAAATGAAACGCGTTCTCATTACAAAGCCAGCAGTCTCCTCCTAATGGCATCATCTGCTGAGTCTTTACAACGACTAAAGTGTTGAACACAAACACTGCAGCGCACTGCGACTCCGTCTGTGTGAGGATGGCTTTCAGAGCCATGAGACACGGTAACACAACAAAACACAAACAGCTCTTCAGTTTGTGCAGGAAAAGTACAGAAACATGACATGAGTTTATTCAGGGGTCATCCACGTTCACAACAGCAACATTCAAACACTTCCCAGGTAAATGAAACGTTTCCAGCACCAAACTGATATCTCTGCTGAGCTTTATAACCTCGACACAGTGTTCTCTGTGTGAAGGAACGTACACACTTCTGTAAGTTATAGTTTTAATATAAAACAGAGGCCCAGCATGCAGGACGGAACATTAGCCACAGCTACTTTTAGCATATTTAAAGGGATCCCTGATTGGTTGTAACATTAGACTTTATTTGATAAATATATATTTTAACTGTAAAATAAAGACTGTAAAAATACTGTAGGATGT